TTTCGGTTCGTACACATGGGCGGTCCGCGCCCATTTGGTTCCCCGCCCCAAACGGGCCCCCACCTCCCACTGCACTACAAAAACGTTTTTGTACCTACGAAGTACCAACAGAACTACGAAGTTCTACTCAACAAAGAGTACTCAGAAAATATAAAAACACACTTCACTTTATACAGAAATAAGCAAACATGAAAAGGTAGTACTACATGTTACTACGTTTAGAGAACAGCGCTCCGTGTGGCCAGTGTGTCCTGACATCAACATTAGATTATTAGATATATTTCTACACGTCTTCAGTCTCCTCAAAGTTTTTAATATAAAAGTACAACAAACTTCAGACTCTCTCTCTCTTTTTTTTTTGTTCATTCTGACTTTTCTTTCATCAACTTTGATGAAACAATCATAAAGTTACAGTGAGTTTGATCTGTCATTTTATTGAATATAATGTTTTTAATCATTTACTTTTCCCTAAACTATTAACTTTGACAAGAAAATGTAAAAGTTCAAGCATAAAGTTTGACATTTGATTGAAATGATATCATTAGGACAGACACAGTTTTCATCCTTTCCGGCTTCAGCTCCTGATATGAAGTCTTTTACACAACGTCGGACTTGATTCTCGTAAAAACGTGACTTTTTTTGTTATTCTTTGACTCATAACGTTATGACTTTATTCTGTAATTTTGGAGTTTTTTTTCCTCTTGACGTCAAAACAACGTACTTGAAACTTTTTCTTTTCTTTTCTCTTTTTTTTGTCCAAAAGTGGCCCGTGACGCCCCGTGACGCCCCGTGTGAAGATGCAGCCTGGGCCGCTGCCCACGTCGCCACCGTCTGGACCCGCTACTGTTTCCACGTGAAACAATGAGCTTTTAAACGTCAGCGGCGGGGGGGGGGGGGGGGGTGGGGGGGGGGGGTTAGAGGTAGATGTGACTGATTGATGGGGGAGAGCTGGAGATAGTGAGTGAACAGGAGGGGAGAAAGTGATAGAGGAGGGAGGAAAAACAACGGAACATTTTTTTAAAGTTTCGCAGAGGGAGACAGGCAGCAGGGAGGGGAGGAGGAAAGAGGGAGGGAGAGAGAGGGAGAGAGAGAGAGAGAGAGTGTGTGTGTGTGTGTCTGTGTTTTTATGAATGAAGTGAGTCACTGCCGATGTGTCATAGGCCCGACGTCTTTATAAAGGAAGTTTTAAACAAGCCTAAACACTTCACTGCGCGCAAAAATTGGACTTAACAACACTCTCATCCCTGTCTCTGCACTGCTGCTGCCTCTGTCCCCGTCTCTGTCTCTGTCCTCTCTCTGCTCAGTGTCCGTGAGTCTCCATCAACAGACCACAGGGGCTCATCTCAGGCACAAAGTTTCTCTTTTACCTCTCTCTCTCTCTCTCCCTCTCCCTCTCTCTCCCTCTCATTCATTCTCTCCTGACAACTTTCCTCCTCACCCGCACTGACGACAGAGAAGACGCTGCGGGAGCACGTGATATTTCCGGAGTTCAATTGATTTATTCGTTTGCTATTTATTTATTTATTTATTTACCTGCGATTCTCTGGGACCGAGTCAGAATGAGATGTAAGTGACTGTGTGTCCGTTTCTTATATTGACTTTTTACAAATGTGTGTCATTTAAAAACCAGTGAACTGTGATTTTTCTATCATGTGTTGTCTTTGAAATAAGAATGAAACATTCTGTTGATGCTCCCTCCCTCCCTGCCTCCCTCCCTCCCTCCCTCCCTGCCTCCCTCTCTGGGGCTGTTACAGTAGAAGGAGCCTCTCAGATGCCCCTGCATGTTGTGTTGGCTGTGATTCTTGTGGTTCACCTGTAATTATGCAGCAGTCATCATTTCAGCTCTGCTGTGGTTTCCTCCTAATACTTCACCTTACATTTGAACTTGAAAGGAAAAGGAATGAATGCGTTCACTGTTAGAGCCCGAGCGGCGTGCTCCGTATAATTTCTCCCACCGGCTCAGGTACCTATCCAGTTGCAGGTGTGACAATCGGCAGCATTCATTGTGCTGCTCTCTGCTGAGGTTCAGTGTCACAGCCGGCTGTGATGATTTAATGGTTTGGACGGAGCCTGTGAAAACACGACTGTGACCTGGAGCGGCCGTGGCCTCCGCTCACCGTCATTACTGCTAATAAGACTAATGGCTTCCGTTTTGTTGGCCTCCTACAGTGCTGCTGGACTCCTCCTCCTCGCTCCTCTTCTCACTGCTATTGGCTCAGCTGCCGGTGTTCACCGCGGCCTCTCCGGTGCCGCAGCGGCGACCCAGTGACATGGACAAGCTGTCCAATCAGACCAAGCATCTGATGAAGCTCACGCAAGAACTGCTGGTAAGTGAGAACGATGATGATGTCATGATGCTGATCGACCTCAGTCACTGATTGGCTGAGCAGCTAGCTCACTGTTAGAGAGGATTCACTTGGCCACGCCACACGGACCAGAGTGGAATCACCTGCAGGCTAACGCAGGCTAACGCAGGCTAACAGGCTAACACATGCTAACGCAAGTAGACACCAGAGCAGCTAATGTCCAGAGAGATGTGACTGATGATCTCACTGTTAATCCACACTGGACTCTCCACCGTCTGACTCTGCTCCGTCTGCTCCGTCTGCTCCGTCTGCTCACCTGACCAGTAACAATGGCCGCCAGACTGGAGCTCCGCCCACTGTCCTGTCCTTGGACAATAATCTCATAGTATAATTAAACCAAGGAGACCGCAGCCAATCAACATCCTGTAGAGCTAGTACTAGTCCTAGTAGTAGTAGTAGTAGTAGTAGTAGTGGTAGTAGTAGTGGTAGTAGTGGTAGTGCAGACAGACACACAGATGTACTGTAGTGTACTGTGGTGTACTGCGGTGTACTGCGGTGTACTGTGTTGTACTGTGGTGTACTGTAGTGTACTGTAGTGTACTGTGGTGTACAGTGGTGTACTGTGGTGTACTATGGTGTACTGTGGTGTACTGTAGTGTACTGTAGTGTACTGTAGTGTACTGTAGTGTACTGTAGTGTACTGTGGTGTACAGTGGTGTACTGTGGTGTACTATGGTGTACTGTGGTGTACTGTGGTGTACTGTAGTGTACTGTGGTGTACTGTAGTGTACTGTGGTGTACTGCGGTGTACTGTGGTGTACTGTAGTGTACTGTGGTGTGCTGTGGTGTACTGTGGTGTACTGTGGTGTCCTATAGTGTACTGTGGTGTACTGTGGTGTACTGTAGTGTACTGTGGTGTGCTGTGGTGTACTGTGGTGTACTGTGGTGTACTGTAGTGTACTGTAGTGTACTGTAGTGTACTGTAGTGTACTGTGGTGTACTGTAGTGTACTGTAGTGTACTGTAGTGTACTGTGGTGTACTGCGGTGTACTGTGGTGTACTGTAGTGTACTGTAGTGTACTGTAGTGTACTGTGGTGTACTGTGGTGTACTGTAGCAGTGTTTCCTGTGATTTGGACAGTCATTCCAGTGAAGACATATTTCTGGTCTGTTGAGCAGGAACATCAGCTGTGATCAGATTTGACTCCAGCTGCTGATGAAGATCATCAGTTCAACTTCACTGATACAGTTCTATTTTTACTTCATGCAAAACGTTCAGTGGATCTCAGCAGTAACGGCTGCACTCTCTCTAGTTTTACCAACGTGTTGGTGCAGAAGATGACGTTAGGCGACCGACCGGCGACCGACCAGCCCTCAGCGACCGACCGCCCGGCGCTCAGCGACCGACCGGCGCTCCGCGACCGACCGGCCGGCGCTCGGCGACGGCTTTTTGAAGGATTTTCATGTAAAAGACTTTTTTAAACAGGATTTTATTGAAGTCCATCAAAGTCAGGACAAATCCAGGAAAGTCAAATAAAAAAGTACTTTTGTGGAAAGTATTTCCTCTGAAAAGAAGACAAGTGTGTACAAACACGTGGGTCAGTACCAGCTTCCTGCCCGCTGGAGTGGGTCTGTGTGTGTGCATGTGTACTGTATGACCACAACTGTGTCTACACACACACACACACACAGCGTTGTGTAAACAGTGTTTTGTGTTTTTCTTTCTTTCTGTCGCCACAGCAAAGTGACTTGATAAAAATCACAAAGATTTATCACATTCAGCTATTTGCATTCAGTGCGAATAAAAGATAGATGAGATCAACGCCGAGGTCTGTCAGGTGAGTCATTCTTGGTGACGGAGGGAGAGAGAATTAAAGGCTGAGACGAACAGAACAAAAACCACAAGAGATGAAGAGATCACAGAGAGGCAGCAGGATGACAGGCCACTGCTGGGGGGGGGGGGGGGGGGGGGCGCGGGGGCGAAACAAAACGGGCGGGAGAGAGAGGTGGGTAGAGCAGACGGGGGAAATGGACAGGAGCGACGGAGACAAAACATCTGACCAACAACAGAGGAAAAACTGAAGAAACATCTGGACGAAAACAACAGCACAACAGGTGGAGGAAGTGTCGGGCAAACACAACCTGTTTACACAAAGCATTTGTCCGCCGTCATCACGACACCGCCGTCCCGCTGCTGTGATGTCACTGATTGGACGCCACCATCACTCATCTCTGTTCAGCTCCGCTCGTTAGTCAAGTTGCCCACATTAGTTAAGATTGCCCTTCCTAAAAGCCCAGCTGCCTTCCGACAGTTGAAGTAAAATTCCATTGACCAGGAGTCAAATTGTTTGCCCACCCCCTGCTGGCCAAGTTGGGAGCTACAGCACTGGACGGAGCAGTTTACAGCACAACTGGAGCCGGGCAGCAGCACTGCGTCATTCCATCTTTTTATAGCTGTGACCCTGG